TGAGTTTTCTTGAAGGTGATTCTCAGTTCTGGTACAATACATTGGAATGGGATTGAAGTGTCTTCAGAAACCTGTAGTATGATCTGCATTCTGGAATATATTTTTTTTTTTTCTATTTTTGTCACCTCTCCTCACTTTTTCCTTTCTTCCCATGAGTTTGACTAGGAAGTAGTCAAGTACACAAAGTCATAAGAGAGGAAGGGAGATTGGGTGGTAAATGTGTTTCAGTGTAAGTATGGCATCTGTACATCTAGCAACTAGAGCTTGCTTTAGCCTTTTTGTGACTGTTTCCTCCAGGAACTTCCTCTCACTCAGGTCCAGCATGGGATTAGCTTTGTATATTCAGTGTCCTGACCTGTATTTCATGACTCATATTTTATTTTCTCTTTCTTAACAGTGGACTAACTTATATTTTATTATGTTTAGGAATTTCAGATATATTCTCTAGGAGATATAAAAAAAGTCTGTGTTTAAATGTAAATATTTGTATCTACCAGCAAAGGCAAAAGTGAAATAAGATAAATGCTAGACTTTGCTCATTCAGTATTTTACTCTTTATTTTTTCCAGGCAATAATTGGAAACTCTTTATTACTTCACTGAAATAAACATTACTAGTAGCTAAATGGTTTTGAATGCAATTATTATTATTTTTTTAAACTGAATTAGCTTTATAATCTAAATCTCCTAAATCATTGCTGGCTAATAGACTAAAGTTCAGCAACGGCGAATTAACTGATGGTAAACAAGAGTAAACAATTAACATTAGATTCTTACTTTCCTGTTTACTTGGAGAGAAAAAAAAAAAAAAATCTTTTGATCTGTAAAGGTGAAAAACTAATGTGTGAAATGAAGCTGTGCATTGATATTGCTCCATCAGTTTTCTCCTGATAATTTACTGTAGTTCTGATTTGCTCACTGAGGACTGTCAAATTTTAAATTCCCCTATGTTAGTAATGAAATTTTCCATGAGAACCTTAGGCACGTTACATTTTCTATAGTGAAGGCAGCAGTAGCATTCACTGTACTGCTACAGTGTACATCATTTCACATCTGTCCCAAAGCCCTATGTTCTGAAAGTCTGGATCATTTCTACTAATAGGTTTTTAATGAGTAGTTATCAGAAGATGCTCTGCAGATGCTGCTTCACTCCTTACCTTATCTCCATTAAAAGGAAAAAAAAATAAAATAAAAAGTTGCTGTTTGAGGGAAAGAACATGGAGTTTTGTGATATAGTATCTTGGTTTTGGCTATAGCAGGGTCTCAGCAAATAAATAAACAAATAAAAATCAGGAGCCCCAAAAAGAACTCCTTCAAGGCTATCATGTTGAGTTAATGTTGAAATTGAAGAACCATGAGATTATTGCTGGTTTTGTGTGAGCTAGAAAAAGATGACTTAGGATTGTTTTCATTATGTGGTAAAGGTGTAAACAAGCTCACACATTGCTAAGGTGTGTGATCAACAGTGTTCCACAGGAGACTGAGATTATATATTAATTTTCTGTGCTTTTTTGCTTGATAGCATCAAGGCAGAAAGTCACTGCATCTAATTCTTTTATAATTTCACAGGTTCTTTTCCTTGTTTTTGAATTAGAGTTAATGCAAGAGTATCTGATGTTGTAGCAGATGCTAGAATTGCATGCAGTAGAATAACAGAAAGATTTTTTTTTTTAAATTCTGTGACAAACTTCATAAAATATGAGGTGAGGGTTTAAATATAACCCAGGGAAAAAAAAGAGCTGAACAGAGATGTGTTACACTTTATCTTTTGTTGCTGCTTGCTCTTATTGCTCAAGTACGAACAATGAAACATTGATATTGAAGATAGAATGCTATAATAGACTTGTACATTGCCTTTTTCTTGTATGATTGTCTTTTTCTTAACAATGACTTATTGCTATGAAATAATAGGCAAAAATATAAGCCTAAAACTTTCTCTCTGAATTAATCGATAAAATATATTCAAATCTGCTCTTTTGGAGATGTGCAAAAAACAGTCATTTGCAATAACTAAGTGAACTTGAGCATGCGATGATTATTGGAGTGCTCTGTGTGTATTCAGAGTAGCGCTGATGTTTTCCCTTTTACAGATGCAGCTTTGAATCAATCATAGATATTTTAGGACTTCTCCAAAGGTGTGTTTTCGCCCAACAGCATGTAACAACTAATTTGAAATCGTTACTGTCCATCATGGTAATGACTGCTTAGGGACTCTTATATTTAGAGGTTATTCACGTGCTGTATGCATGCATGAGATATAAGTGTATTGGAAATCCTAGAGGGAAAAATTGAGAAGGAAACTGCATGAATAGTCCAGGATACCAACACAGACAGCCTGCTTGAATCAACTTGTCAATTTGGATAAATCATGGTTCCTTCTCACTACAGAAAAAGGAAGAGAAATACTTTCTGGTCTGTTAGTTCATGGGGTTAATGATATTCCTGTTTCTTCTAATTTAGGGTGTATTTGTAACAGTATCTGCACAGGGGAGTCATAGTGAAAGAATCAAAATTTAGCTAGGAAAACACCATCTGAAGCAGTCATTTTCAGGCATGTAGACAGTGACTGTACCTGCCAGAGAAAGAGCCAGTGGAGTCAGGTTTTTGGCTGTGTTTGGAAGCATATCCATTTGGAATAACTGTTGGTGCTCAGTACAGATTTGAAGGAAGGAGTCTACTGTGCTGAGTCTACTGTGCTCCATGGTTGATTTATTATGTGTTTATTTTTTTCGTAGAATCATAGAATGGCCTGGGTTGAAAAGGACCACAACGATCATCTAGTTTCAGCCCCCCTGCTATGTGCAGGGTTGCCAACCACTAGACCAGGCTGCCCAGAGCCACATCCAGCCTGGCCTTGAATGCCTCCAGGGATGGGGCATTCACAACCTCCTTAGGCAACTGTTCCAGTGCATGAAAAAATTCCTCCTAATATCTAACCTAAACCTCCTCTGTCTGAGTTTAAAACCATTCACTTGACCTATCACTATCCACCCTTGTATACAGTCATTCTCCCTCCTGTTTATATGCTCGCTTAGGTCTTCTCAGAGCCTTCTCTTCTCCAAGCTAAACAAGCTTGGAGAAGAAGTCCCTCAACCTTTCCTCATAGGAGAGGTGCTCCAGCCTCTGATCATCTTAGTGGCCCTCCTCTGGACTTGTTCCAAGAGCTCTGCATCTTTCTTATGCTGGGGACCCCAGGCCTGTACGCAGTACTCCAGATCTACTCACAAGAGCCGAGTACAGGGGAACAATCACTTCCCTCTCCCTGCTGGCCACCCCTTTTTTAATGCAGACCAGGACACAGTTGTTTTTCCAGGCTGCAAGCACACACTGCTGGCTCATATCCAGCTTCTCCTCTACCAGGACCCCCAAGTCCTTCTCTGCAGGGCTGCTCTCAAGTTCTTTTCCCAGTCTGTATAAATACCTGGGATTACCCCGGTCCAAGTGCAACACCTTGTACTTGGCCTTGTTTCCCCTCTCTTAAATGCATGCTGAGGGTAATGACTTGCAGCAGTCAATAGCAGAAAGTACATCTAGACATCACAGGGATGTGTGGTATGATCCCTCCCTCCAAATATAGTCTAAGCCTCTCCTTGGTGGGCACAGTCTTTGCTGCCCACATCTCAGCCCTCTCTTGAGCACAGATTACTTAATAAAGATAGGCTGAGGTAAACATTAGCTCTGTGATATACATCAGTACTGAAGAGGAAGAATTAGTCCTTTTATGAGCTGAGGCTTTGAACTGGGCTGTATAAGGTGGAGGCTTTAATCCTTTGTTGGAGAAAGGCATTTTCAAAGGGTTCTCTTTAGAATGTACTGCTTGAACCTCTGAGGATTATTGCTAAATGTTTATGTGTAAGAAAATGAGTTCATATTTTTAGGTTTTTAATTTCTTATTACAAATTTTGTTACTTTTCACCATCTGCTTATTAAAATATAGTCAGATCTGCCAGTGTTCTCTGACTTAAGTCTCTTTAAAATTTAAGAAACACTTTAGTCTTGGCATTCTTGCTTGTAATGCTGGGAATTTCTTCGCACAACTAACTGGTGTTACTTTTTTTTTCCTTCAGAATAAGGAATTAATTTGGTAGATATGTAGAGAAATACACACATATATATATGTGTCTCAGTGTTTGGCTTTTAGTACTGTGAAATTTAGTCTCTGTGATTTCAGTATTTTTGTGTATAGAGTCGTAGTCTAGGAATACTTTTTAACTGCTAATTCTCCTGATAGATTTTAAATGTCTTTTTGACAGTAAAAGTGGAGAAGGAAATACTTCTTTCAGCTGTGCTATATCTATCTGTGCTTAGATATAATTTTGTGTGTGTGTGTGTGTGTACACTTGCAGTATGGATTATGGATACCTTTACTGTACTGATAGTAGAAACCGATAGCTGCTGAAAGAGAGTTTGTACAGCAATGGTATAGCACCTTATTGCTATGCCAATGACTAGAGTGTTAGCAAAAGTCCAAAAATGGAAGAATAGATCTCTATTCTTTTCCTCTCAAAGCATACAATTATAGTTGTAAAAAAGTGTTAACCAAGTAGGTAGTAAGACATAGGGCTTTTGGAAGAGTCTGTATGTTGAATCTGACAGATGGTAAGATAGGAGGTCAGCATGAGTGGAATTTGGAAGGTCACAGGAATCTATAAGTTAATGTAAACAGAAAGATTATTGCAACAAGGAAAAGGTCTTGTCATGGTTGTATGTGTAACAGATTCTCTGTAAGTTTTGTCTCCATAAGGTATTGGTTTGCTAATGCCTGGGTCAGAAGTATGCGTTTGTTGTACAAACTCAGGTTTTTAGCTCTGAAAGTTTGTGATACAGTCTCTGACACCAGGTAAAAAACAAACAAACAATGTAATTTGTGGACAGATTGTCTTTTTCTTTGTAATCTCTTTGAAAATGTTGGTGACATTGAAAGGCTAGTCTGTGAGAATGTTTTGTGAAGCCAAAAGTGAAAATAAATTATCCTTCACTCCACCCTTTTCTTTGTCTCTAGGATCCCGTCTCCGCCAAGAGGACTTTCCACCACGGATTGTTGAGCATCCTTCAGATGTGATAGTCTCTAAAGGAGAACCAACAACCCTGAACTGTAAAGCTGAAGGAAGGCCAACTCCTACTATTGAGTGGTACAAAGATGGAGAGCGAGTGGAAACTGACAAAGATGATCCTCGCTCCCACCGTATGCTGCTGCCTAGCGGATCTTTATTTTTCTTACGTATTGTGCATGGACGCAGAAGTAAACCTGATGAAGGAAGTTATGTTTGTGTAGCAAGGAACTATCTTGGAGAAGCTGTGAGTCGCAATGCATCTCTGGAAGTGGCATGTGAGTAAAGTTTTGTTTGATTAGCACCGTGTATAACTTTATAGTTGCTTTTATATTGCTATCCAGCACTTGCACACATTCAGTGGTTTGAGAGATAAGCATAGATAAAGATGGCATTTTGTCATCAGCTGTATTTCTTAGTCAAGGCATTTATACATGCATTTATTCAGTAGCAGTGACCGTACAGAATGTGATTTATATGGAAGTACAGTTCTAGCCAGTGTATAATCATGATTGGCACAAGCATGGACAAAGGCTAATCTTCCTCTAAAGAATAATCTAATTTCTAAATTATGACTAAAGTTGGTTACGCTGAAACTAATGTGGAAAAATACCTATCATTTAATATAAGGTGCACTGTCTGTTTCTCTTTATTTAGTCATCTGTTACCTCAACAGGAACAGACAGCTTCTTGGTGTCTCGTGTTCTGTAGTGCTGGAAACCTCAGTGTGTGCTCCTCTATCATAAACTTGATATAGGCCTCATTCATTATGTGAGTGGCAAGTGAAATTGTTGGCCATTTCTCATATCCTCCAGAGCACTCTTATTCTTTATCGATTCTCTTTGTCTTAAAAGAGAAGTCGTCACAGTTCTTAGAGAGACCACCCAGCATGCATGATATGCTTCCAGTAGAGTTAACAAACACATTCGTTACAGTCATAGAGCAAACAAGCTCATCATACATAAAATGTAACATTGTGTTTAGTAATTTTTGCTACTTGGTTGTATAGGTTGGAAAAAAGCTTGATTTTTTTTTTTTTTTCAGAGTATCAGCAAAGCATAGCTGTGTTCCTTAGCATAATTGTGTGTTTCAGTAGAATTATAAATGCTGTTCTCTTGCCGATCTTTAATTTTCCCCACAGTTCTTCATTTGGCAGTAATTTCAGCAAAATGTGTTTGACTGAATTAGGGCTTCAGCACAAGCTTTCATCACTTAGTTAGTAGAGAATGGATTTAAGAACATACAAAAAACATATGGTGGCCTAAAAAAATAGAGGTAGAAAAAAGCAAATTTTATTCCTGATGCAATTTGGGACTTTTATAGCTATTGTGACATGATCTTTAGTTTTCAATCTTTTCACAAATTGCAGAAAATGACATTTTTGAATTAGTTAGATGTTGGAATGGGCCAAGTAGAACAGACCTGTTCACAGCCTTTTCCTTGTCACAACCTAGATTAAGAACTGTTTTAAAGGAAAAATAAAAGCAGGTTTGTTTGAGCCACTAATAAATGTATATCTGCTGATAAAGGCATCATAATGTTACTACTGAGTGTAGATAGGGATTTAGGAATTGAGAGGATGACCAGTTTAAGAAAGGTTGAAAGCTGGGTGAGTACGAATATAGATAAGCTTTAGCTGGATCATTCCTGTGTTTATATACATATTTTTTTGTTTTAAGCTATCTATTGAGAAACCCTGTGTGAGAGACATAAACATTTTGAAATCTTGGATAATCATGTTGAGATTCAGAATCTCCCATTGAAACTCAGAACACTGTTAAAGTTATGCTTTGGGTCATCAAACTGAAGTGATTAGTTATTTTGGAATTTAGAGGTGCTCTATGTTCTATCAGATTTCACAGATCCCTACTTCAGTGGTTGCTGTGAGACTCTTGTTACAGCATCTCCAGTCTTTGGCATTATTTCTTTAACCAGTATAACTGATGGCAGGTCATGCATGAACTGCATGTGAGACAGTACGAGACTTTAAAAATAATAATACCAGGTTTCATTGTTAGAAGGATCACAGAACATGAAACTTTAGATCTGAAACTATAGCCAAAGTTTCTGCAATAGCAACATGCACCTGACATCACATCTTTTTTATTGTTTTCATAGCTTTGAAATTTAACTGACTGAATTTTCCAGTTAAACGGTTTAGCAGTCTAAGGCAGGCATTCCGTTTCCACTTAAATTAAACAGTGCTTTGTCTTGAGCCATACCATGATTGTGATTACAAGAAAGTATTTTCAAAGAAAAAAACCCGAACTGTAATCATGTGTACATTGCTCATTTGTTAAATTTTAGAGATCCTCTTGTTTTATGCTCATTGGTTATGAAAGCGCATGGCAACGTCAGAGGTGTATCAAAAGAATCCTGTGGAGACTGATACCCAAACTGACTAATTTTCCTTGATTTTGAAACTTTTATCTATAAATTAAGTTTTAAAGTGACTTTTAGAGAACAGCTATTTCTAACGTCAGCATTTCTGGACTGAACAAAGTGGGCAGGCCTGTAACAGGTCATGTGCACACTTGGGAAATGAGTTGTTGCTGACAGCCTGTTGTCAGCAGTGAGTCCTCATTCTCATGTTTTCCACACTTCTAAGGGCAGTGAGTTGCCTGGATGCCAGGGCCCTGTCTGAGGGAACTGAGACAGCCACATGCAATCAGGGCTTCCTTCTGCTATCTCTAATAGCGTTGAAAACTGCTCTTTCCACACTAAGCTAAGCTGTTTTCATCACCAGAAAAAGGGTGGTTGTCCTTTGCTGACAACAGGGTTTTGGATTATTAGATGACTGTAGGTGGCCTGAAATTGTGCTATTAGAGAAAAACTTCTAAGGTCTAAAATGCTTGAGTCTGCTATTTTAGTGGAAAAACCAACAATTGTTTTACTTTTCTTATTATATTGTCATTCCACACTAATGCACACTTGGAACTTTTGAATGATTTATGAAGAAATATTTTGGTGTTTTCTGTATCTGTTAAGAGTGGTCACGCTTATGCATTCTGATGATATTGCATTAATTGTGATTCATTCTTTTATCCTTCCATTTTTCCCTTCCATGGTCACCTGGCCCCAAAGCACCAACATTGAAAATCTTCTGATGTACCCATTAGACAGAAGAAAAAGCTTAAGTGAAATTCAGTTAGATCATGTAGTGATTCAGAGCACAGAAAGTGGCCCATCTTGAATGTAATCACTTTGTCCCTTGGTTTTGAAGTGATTTTTACAAGTTGCTGAAGTTCTGGAGCTCTTTTTTTTTTAATGTAGGAACAGTTAACATCTTTCCCAAGCATAATGATTTTAGATACCAGTCCACCCAAAGAATTAAATCTTCTTTTAAATCCATGCCTATTGAAAGCATTTTCATATAGTTAAAGAGAAATATTTGTATCTACTTATATACATAATCAGAAAAGTAGATCCATCAAATCATAGAATATTCACAGAAGATATCTCAAAAAACTGTGAGGAACTTTGATTTGAGAAGCTACTTAAAGAACATCCTTACCATATAGAACATGCTTTAAAAACTCTTTGTAATTTTAGGGAGTGTTTATTCCAGAGGATATTGAGGGAGAAATAGGTGTTAGTATTGTAAGGCATAATTTGGGCTAGACATTCTGTTTAATTCTTCTTAAATGCATCAGTCAGTGCTGTGTTTTGTTAGGGTCAGTTCCCTTCCCTTCTTTTTGTTTGTAAGAGCCTTCCTCAAACAGTAAAAGATAATTCTATTGCTAGCAACAGAATCATTTTTTTTTATTGTGGTAAATTCTAGTGTAGTATTTGTATTTCTTATGATTCGATCATTAAAAATAAATGTTCTAGTCCTAAAACATTTAAAGAATCTTATTGCAAATAGTAGAACATATTTATTTTTCTATTTAAATGTTGCTCTTTTTTTAAACAAAACTGAACCAGGATTGGCATTAATAGAAATATCTTATCAGCAAAACTTTCTTGGGAGATTTAGAAAAGGGAGTTAATCTTATTTTGATGAAATGGCTTTAATTCTTGAAAATCATTCTTGAAAACTTTCATTTTTAAAATAAAGGCACATTTTTTTACAGTGTATGAATTGACATGATTGAACCAGAATGGTGGAGTTTTCCAGTGGGACTATCGGAAGACATAGATAGGATTTCAGTCCCCAGCAATGGGGCGCCACATGTAAGCAACAGAGAAAGCATGAGGGGTCCTCACTCTGAGTCACCAGACTCTGATCCAGCCTGAGTCAGCGGTAGCCCCTAGGGAGAGCAGCTGTAGCCCCAGGTGTTAAATATGTGACAGCAGCTTGATCTATCGACCGCTGTAAGAGGGGGCTTCGGCCTAAATGAAAATTCATGAAAAATTGATGAAGTCCCCAGATTATTTTTTTTCCCCTTTTCCTTTTTCACTGCTGTGCCAATGCAGCAAGGAGAGATTAAATGAGGTGTTGAACGCTTTAGTGGCAAGGAGGTTGCGGTTCAAAGGTCAGAAGGTCAAGGGAGGGGAAGAAAAGACCAATTTTCTACCTTACTTTCTTTTAAAAGAAAATACTAGGCTTTTCAGATTAGCTAGGATTTACTTCCATTTTAATATAAGAATCCATTTTAATATAAGAATAAAGCTCAGGAATATTCACAAATAAGATTATTTTCTGCATGGGTTGGCAAAGGGTAGAAGTGTGTGGGTTGGTGCTAATAGAAAACAACTGGAGGACTTGGCTTCATAATTCAGTTGGAGAATCAGAAATAGATTTAATTTTGTGATGGCAGAGTAAATTTGGGTTTCCATCTTTCCGAATCTGTGCTTGAGCTGAAGTCATTTGGAGAAAGGTCTTGCATTATTTATATGTCACAGATTGCTTGAATAGCAGGCTTTGAAACACTTTCCAAACATAATGATCTTGTTTATGTTAAATTCAAAACTGAGTTATGTTTTATCTTTAATAAGAGTGGTTATAGTAATAGACTGAATTTAGTGTGAAGAGTCACAGGTGTACTCCAAAGCAAGTGTAAGCCACATCTTACATATGGGAGACTAATTTTACAAATAAAACTGATATGCTGCAGTACTATGTGAATAAAGGGTGGTAAGTATGAAATAAATGCTATGCAATCATATCTGTAACATAAAGCTAATGACAATTTGCATGAACATCTGCAAAAGGCTACAATATGCTCATAATAATGGAGTCAATCATTTCACTTGACACGTTTAGAATAGAGATCACCTGTAAAAATAGCATTAATATCTAGCAAAATATATGTGACTCTGAAGTGGATGGATTATTTTTCATCTAGTTTCTGTTAAACATGTAATGTAAATATAAACACTGTTATGAATTCAAATTTCTGAGTCTGATTTGCTTTGGTCAAGGTTACACTAATGTGTGAAGACGTGTAAAAGTTCATTTACTTACATTCCTTTTATCCTCATTCTTTTCAATGGCATGTGAAGAGCTTGCTGTTGAAACCTACAGACTTTTACTCTCATTGAGACAAAAGTAACTGTTGCAGAAATTGAA